CTGCCATACCGTGAGCATCTTGATTTCCGGTAAGTTAACACCAATATAGGTGTAGCAAGTACTTGACTTTCTAAATGGAAACAACAAGCACTGTTAAGATTCCAGCCAAAAAAATAATAATGAACAGTAAACACAGAGAGAGAGAGAGACCGAAGAGAAGGGGGGGGGGGGGGGGGGGGGGGGGAATGCCACAATAAGAGAGCCTGTTACAAGACAGTGCTGCCTGATACTTGATCTCAGCATGTTGCATAGTTTGTTACAGCCATAATCATGTCTTGGGTTGCAGCTTTGAATTTGTTGACACATTAACATTATGCATTAGTTCGACCTTGAAATGCCACTTCTTTACAACTGTTTGCTCAAAGTCTTCTATGCAATGTAATAGATTTGTTTTGTTACATTCCAAAAGCTATTAATTAGCTTGAAATGAGTTGAAAATGTCCCACTTTCAAGCCTTTAACTCAATTCAACTCAGTGAGCTGTGCTCTCCTCTCAGCAGCTTTTTTTCTGATGAATATTCCCCACCTTAATGCAGCTTTGAGCTTAAGCCACCCAACAACAGCTTTCCCTGAAGACTTCCCCTGATCCTCACTGAATGAATGATACACCTGAGGCTCATACTGAAGGCTATAGGTGTAACAACCCTCATTAGAATGACCAAGATTACTTGACATGTTGACTCCTGCATTGATTGTCTTAAGTAACCTCTGCATATCATCACTCTCCAACATCTCTGAACTCCTGAGACGGAGTTCTTCTGCGACAATGTCTTCCAACCCTTGTCCATTTCTTGGCCGCGACCAATCGCCGGCAAAATAAGTACTGCCAATTTCATGATTTTCACCTGACATGTAGTTCATACTGCCAGGCAATGCTAGTTGAGAGTCTGTTAAAGATGTTCCTACCATCTGACTATCAGATCTCACAAATGGATAATCAGTCAAACCAGGACTGGATGAGTAGTTATTTGTTATCTGCAAGTGTTGATTTGGTTCAGAGGAGACATATGACACCTTGTTCTTTGCAGAGGCATACTGCTGCTCTGGGAAACTGTTATGGTGCATTATTTGAGTAGCTACAGCTCTTGATCCCTTTTTCGAATTAGTAAGAGAAGTTAAAAATTTTCCATCATATTCTATAACTTGATCCCAATTTTCATATGCTTTCTTCACCAAGGAATCCACAGACATCTGTAAATCAAATTCTCAATTTATGAGCTAATGTATTTGCTAGTAAGATAAACATACATGTTGATCATACATCAAATGGATCTAGGACTAGGAATCCTATGATTTTAATTAGCACAGAAAATTGACCTTTTGATTTGGAGTAAGCGATTCCAGAGAGTAGAATTGGCCATCAGAAATGAGGCCTCTTAGCTCGTATATATTGTTGAACACAATGCCAGCGCTATTAGTTTCATCAGTGTAGTAAACAAAGAGCTTGCCACCTAAGACACAAGTCTTGGCATGCTCCACAGTATTCTCCCACATTCTATTGGACATTCCACTACCAAGTATCTGTATTAAAGATGGCAAATAAGGAAATATGAAGAATTGGGTATTTGGAACATTTGGATTGGAGAAGAATGACGTGGATGCTTATGAACAAATAACATTATCCTTACACTTCTTAACTTCTGTGGCTCGCGGACAAGAAGACGTAGGAAATCTTCTACTGTTACTATTTTTGCTTGAATCAACTTTTTGTGAAGTGCTCCATCCTTGGCTATCCTATCCAATCTCCAAACCTCATCATGCAAAGCTGGTGGATAGTGTTTCTTGTATACTGCAAGTAGCAGATAGGAATTTGTTTAGAGAATTTCATTAAATAAGACTTGCCAAAAGCCTAAACATTGAAAATAATCAAAATATTGCTTCCTTAACAAACTAATGCAAGGAAACAACCAAATAGAGATAGAGATAAATTTTCTAGGTTCATTATGTATGTAGCTGGATATAGCAAGTTGACGACCATACACATGTTATCTGCTATACAGTATCCACTCTAAAGAAAAATTATAGCTTTTCTAAATTTAAGGAAAGGCATTTTAAATATGAAAATTTATCGTAGACAATTAACCCAAGGCTAGAGAACCAACTCTCAAAAGCTTAAGCTGTTAGGTGATGAAACAATATCTGTTAGTTATATATCTCTCTCTTCTAACAAGTTTAGTAATTTGTTCCTTGCAAGGATAACTTGAGTGATCCAATATCTCCTATCCTGGCCAATAAATAAAATTATTCAACCATAAGTATAAAATATCAAGTGCTAACTATTAGAAAACTCACATTCTCCTCTATGATCCTTAACAGCAAAGGCTTCAGTCTTTCCCTCACGAATACGAATCTCCTCACAATAACCGGAAGCCACCTTAATGCCAAGCCGGAATTTTCTGCTTCTTATCCAGCTAGAATTGTCTGTGAAGGTAAGATCACCTAAGGTTCCTACCCCTTCCTTTAGGCTAACCTGCAAATCTCCAGTTAGAAGTGGCCTTTTCCCCTCACGTTCCTTTACTTCATGGCTTTCAAAGTGCTCTTTTGTCCAATCATCATCTACTTCCTCATTAAAGTCACCTTCAAGTACCACCACATTCAATTTAGCAACAGATTCTGGTCCAACTTGAACAACACTGCCTGTGTTGGGATCCATTAACACAATATGGATTGCTGATCCTTGCTCTCCCTCAACCTTCCCCCCTGTGAACAAATGAGGTGGCATTCTTGTTCTGAAATGAAGCTGCAGATTCTTTGGCCCTGGTCCTTCTAATCTTGGTGGTGGAGATCTGACATAGGTAGAATGTAATTGATGAAATATGGGCTAATGCGTGATAATTATCATGCAATTTTCTTACTAGGATCTTCATGTTTTTATGCGATTTTGCACCCACCAATTTACATCATATTGCTAAGGACAGCACATGCTCAAATGTTGTTACATCCATTAAATTGATTATCAGTTATCATCTATCAGCCTCGTACTAAACAAGCATTTATAACTAAAAAAGAAGACTTTCCCAATTCTAATTTGACAGGGAAACACACCTTTCAGCCAATTTAGCATGGCCCATTTTTGCCAAAGCACGCTCCACTTCTTCACTGACCTATATAGTTCATGGAATTTGAAGGATCAACAGAATAACCTTATAATACGTTGTATATCTTGATTAATAGGTTCTTTTATTGATTCAGCTACTCATAGCTTACTGCTAAATGGAAGCAACAAACATAACATTGAACAATCAAACTCAAACAAAACCATTAAAAGGTTGTAAATCAACATTTTACATTTGGGTTCTTGACAAGGTCATGTTTCATTTCTATGCTCCATGTTTTGGTAGGCCACATTATCTTTTTTCTTTTCTTTTTCTCACAAGACAATTTAAATTAGACTGTAACTAAATGGCGTTATATAGTACTTTGATGTCACTTTTTTTGTGACAAAGTGCTAAAGCATAGTAGTGTCTACTGTTAATTATTGCAGGTAAAATAAAAAATGAAAACACTTCTAAAATCAAGCAGGATTTAATATAGTTTTTTGGTCATGCAGGATTTAATATAAGGAAAGGGAAAATAGCTCACAATTTTTCTGAGAAGAGGTTCCAAAGATGAGCAAAGTCTCTGCAGACTATCCACCTTTAAAGCTTCCACAATTACACTGTACACGTTTCGAATAACAAATTGATGTTGAGTGTCACTAAATTTGCATTAAAATGCACAAAAAAGAACTAAACCTAACATATTTAAATTGAAGACAACCAACATCGAGAAACAGATTTAGGAATTCAAAACACTCAAATGCTATATTGAATGCCACCTTCACTTCCAATAAACGATATTCATTGAAAAATTCAAATTAGATATTCTTCAAAGTTCAAATTGCATTAGTGAGTTTCAAAATCAAGAGCCACAAGCATTAATCTGCCAACTGGTGTCATGATACCAAAGATCTAGTATTCCAGGCATATCATGCACCAACAATGTTAACAATAACCCCCAAAATTGGAAATCAATCCAAACAAGCAACAAAATTTGCATAAACAACATAAACACATATACAAACCAGTTTAACAAGATAATAATCAATTTGAGCCACATGGAGGATTCGTGCAGAACCCAAATTCCACAATAACTTTGAATCAAAATTACTAAATTAAAAAATACTAATCATGATCAGAGAACAAATATGTATTGCAATACCTGGCTAAACCGGGTAGTTTTGGTTTCTTTGACTGAGTAAGATGGTGCTGTGCATCATCACCCTCCTCAACTAGCTCATACCCTCGCTTTTCCACTCTATTGTTCTTGGAACTTTCCATTTCTAGAAACTTATCCAATCCCAATGATATCTCGACACTAACTAAATTTAGAAACTTGGTCTTGTCTTAGGGATCCATAGGGCAGGTGCACCCCAGAACCTTCCCAGAAACAGAACAGTGGGAGAGTAAAAATCTTGGAACTAAAACTTAAACTTGAGCTCACAAACACATAAGAAGAGGTGGTTGATTTTTTTGTTTGACAAATGAGGATCTAGGATTAGGACAAAGAAAATGTGGACACTGTAGCATAGATCTACATGACTTTACAAATAATTTTCAATTGAATAATAAAATAAAAAGGTTCCTTGCATTATAATATATAATTGATATTATTGATGATCACAGCTGGATTGGATGTGTGCATGAACATTGGAAAATGAAATTGAAACCGCGTTTTTTGTGTCTCATGTATCTTTGACTTTGTATTGGTGGGTGTCGGTGATAAGACAGAATCAACCCTCTATGTGTATCACAATTACACTTGTCTATTAGCGTAGCCTATAGTTTATAGTTTATACTACTTTTGTACCTCTGATGTTTTTGTACTAAGAAATTGTGAATATATGATACGGTAGAGGAAAGAAACGGTCAATGTCATTCACTGGTTCGGGACAAAACGAGGATCATAAACTTTACAAAACGTTCTCAGCAAGTCTTCCCTGCCCAATTGTATACTTGTAATTTGTTTTCTTCTTTTTGAATTCTAATTTAACTACTTTTATGGTTTATAAAAGAAAATTAATTACCTTTATAAATTTTAGATTAAATTATACTTTTAAGTCTTTTATTTTAATTTTTTTAGATTTATTTTAATCTTTATCTTTAAAAATATTCATTTTAATCTTTTATCTCCTACATTTTGGATCTATTTGATATTTTTGAAATAGTGATTATTTTTAAATTTTGAGAGATTGAAATCTTTTGTTGATAAATTTAAAACTTAGAACGAATTTTATTATATTCACTTATATGAATATTATGAAATTCAAAACACTAACATTTATAAACTAAGAAGAGAGCAAGATGGGTATTTAGAAAGGCCTCAGGAAAATTTTTTGTTGTAGCATTCCTTTGAGTGCTCGGAAATAGGAAAAAATTTTGTTTTAGCATTCCTTTGAGTGCTCGGAAATACTTCTAAGAGAATGAAAAAAAATTCAGAAATTTACATTAATTTATACATAAATTAACATGTAGAAAGTAGAAACTTTCTTATATTAATTATTTTAAAAGTTAATTTTTTTTACTTGTTAAAAGGTTAATTTTAGTTTTATTTTTCCTCATTTTATTATCTTCAAAATAGTTATGAAAATAAAATTATCCAAACATACCTTAAGATTATTACGAGATTGGAAAAAAAATGGTGGAATGAAATAAGGAGCTGCCGACACCCTCTGATCATAAATATTAAATGATGCTATATGTGCTTTACCTGCTAAGAATCTTTAAGTTTACCATGTGCGTGTTAATTATTCTGGAGAATCCCAAGTGATTATCAGTGATCATCCATGTGTAATGATTTTAGATAGATATAATTAGACTAGGTATCGACATAATATACAACATAGCCAACTGTTAATGTGTTGCACATTAAAATCTTGTGCTATTTTATTAGCAGTTTAGTACGTGTCAGTGTGTTATTTTATTACAACTCGGAGTGAATTTACAAAGAACAATTAAAGTCTTATTATCAATATATTTTAACTTGAATTCTCAAATGCAATTTTGATGTGTTGATAACAAAACTAATGCTAAATTAAGCAGAAAATAACTTAAATGGATATTATTTTGAAATCATTTAGAGATGTTATCTAATCTACAAACAGTTTATATTTATTAGTTTAACTTTTAAGTAATTTCTTTCATATCTAAGAATAGGTTAAAATTTTAAAAGAAGTATAAAGGAAGTAGGTAAAAAGGAGAATAATATCAAAATTTAGACTGTTGGTCCACCAACACTATCATAAAATTGAAACTATTTTAATCATTGATAATAAAATGAAGAAGAGACTTTGTGATTTTATCGGCTACTTATTTGCAAAATGTTTTAAATAGTAATGAGTCAACATTATAGGCAACAAATTCTTTTGAGAGTAACTAAAAGTTGAGTAACCATAAAAAGCAATAGAAAGAATCGTGAGCATATGCATCATTTGACATAATTATTCCAATTTAGTTTTTTTTTATTCGTATTGAATTTAAGCCTTATAGATACAATTGCATTAAATACTTGTTAAAAAAATATCATTTATAATAATCTTATCTTATACAATTAAATTTGTCTTTTGTAGAAAATATCCATGATTTTCTAAAAGAGCTAGAGTATGACATAAAAAAAAGGGAGAAAAATAGTATAGAACTCGATCAAAATGTGATGAGATGCCAGCATTACAATATGTCTCAGCATTTATACATTATAATTTTTCTTCCTTCAAATGTCTCGTATTACAGGATGGACAAACAAACAAATAAAGGTTGCTTTCTTCCCAATATGGAATGGATTAAACAGCAAAAAATAAATCAAATCAACGTAAGTCATGTATTCTCAACTTAAACCATGTTAACTTGGACCATATTTAAATACAAATTAAAAGTGTTTTTAAAAATTTCTTTACTAAAAATAAAAAATAATTTTAATAAAAAAACCCTCAAGAATTCTTTTAAACTTGTATTTAAATAAACTTTTAAGTCTCATCCCAAAGGTGCCAATGTGTCTTGGCAATCAATTAGAAACATTTTGATAGTCTTAATTTTGATTAATATTAATTTGAAACAAAGTGATTTATATTCTCATCAGTTTTTCCATAAAATTTAATGTAACATTCCATCTCCAATACAGAAACTACATTTTTTCCCCGCTTAGTCAACTATTTTTAAGAACCAATTCAATTGTACTTCAACGCAACCAAACATGAGAACTCAAATGGAAAGATCTGCAGATTCTAAACTCCCACGTACTTGTAACTGTAAGTAACGGCCAAAATAAAACAAGGAGATTGAACAATTAGTGTGAAAACAGAGCTAAATATAGTGTATAATATCATAAAGTCCATCAACATATTTGACCAGTTTTAAACGCCCAGGAAACTGAGCAGTGGTAACAGACTAATGGTGCATGCTATGGCATTGGTATGATCTGTGAGGTAAAAATTGTTTGATACTAGCATATATGAAATACAGTTACAAACACATTAGGATATTAATTTTAACCTAAATTGGTTGTTGACAACTCAAGCATTTTGCTTGTATGCTTGTATAAATCATGATCATGATTATAACCATAAAGAATATAAATAACAAAACTTATGCAGTTATTCTCCTCCTTCCCATCCCATTTGACGAGCCCGTCGCTCCCACACCAAAGTCAACTTTCTCTCCTTGGTGAGAATGGCCTCAGCTCTTTCTCTTGCCTGCTCACATGTTTCAGTTGCAGCAATGCATTTGTCGGCCTCTCTCTGGTACTGAGACGCGACCCTTTTCGCTTCTGCCAATGTTATGTTCATGTGCCGCGTGTTGGCTTCGGTAACAGACTCTTGCAACTTCAGCTCCTCACTCAGAAGGTCCACAAACTGCTTCTCCATCTCCTCCTTTAGATCCGGGTCATTGCTCCCGCAATCTGTTGATTAGATCAGTTGATGTCATCCGCATGCACCATGCAGTTTTCAGTAGCAAAATTAGCAGAGTTTGAGCATGACGATTTTGAGAACTTGATTAATGGTTGGCATAATCTTAGATTCATCATTACACCTATTAGAAAATAAGATATTTGACATGATGGGGATCTAGATTTTCTAATGGTCAAAGTAATAGCACCTCTTCCACTCATATTTCATCTTTAACAGTATGGTTAATTTAAAATCTTAGTTAGACCCTATAATTTTTTACACATTTTCAGTTTAGTCACCACATTTATTTTTTCAAATCAGTTCTCCCACTTGGAGATGTTTTAACAATAGTCCCTATTTCAATTTAGTCCATATTGGACAATTTAGCAAGAGAGACAGAGAGAGAGAGAGGGCATCTAAAGGAGCAGACTTTGGTGAAAGGAGCACCTATTGGCCTTTTCAATATTAAAGATAACATCTAAAGAAGAACATACTAGCCAAAGAAATACCTACTATGTTAGCCAACTGATTGTGTTACAGCAGAAACTGATGGTGGAGATTATTGTGAACAAATTTGTAAAGTGAGGAAAAAATCTTTAGGTACTAAACTTTTGATTGAAGATATGAGAAATGTTAGCGGCACTCTCTAACACGAATTTGGATCCTCTTATGCAATCTTTTCTCTCCAGCCTCTCTCCAGCAACACTAATAATCATTAGATATATCTAATGGCTCAAATATAATCTTATAATTAATGTAATTTCTTAAATGATTTTTATAAGATTAAATTTGAGCCATTAGATATATCCAATGGTTATTAGTGTTGTTGGAGAGAGGCTGGAGAGAGAAGATTGCAGGAGAGGATCCAAATTCGAGACTCATTAAATGAGATAATGACACTCGTAAAATTTGTGATTTCCAGTAAATTTCATCACATAATAAAGTATGTTAAAGAAAGTGTCTGCTAGCATTTCTCATTGCCAATATGTCTCTAATCATCCAAATTGATACAGTCCTAATTAGCAAGACAAAAGAAGTCACACCTGAACTCCAACCGAAAGATCAAATCAAATTGCTTAAAAATCTAGCTAAGAACCTAAAACTTAGTTTAGGCATGTGATATGATACAACACAGATACATGAATCCAAAACATTCTTCAAAATTCAAGATATAATATGGATTAGATGCAACTGCTTTATATAAAACATAACAGAGTAATGAGACGATACTTCAAGGGAGTGAAAGAGGGTGTGCAAGGCCAGAACCACAAGCAATTGAAGGGGATGTTAACAGATGTGATATGCAACCCAAAAGAACATGCAAGACCCAACACTGTAAGAGCTATGATGTGAGATATGAAAAGGCCAAAAGATGTATGAGACCAGCAAGATCCATCCCTTCCCCTTTTGCTATAAGTGGAAAACAGTAAAACAAAGATTTGGAGGCAAACATGAATATATTAATGTATCCATATCTTTGTTTGGTAAGGTAAGTCATGTCTAATAATAAAACACACATGATTAGAGACTTCAAAAAGGAGAAAGTCTAACCTGAGACAGAGAGATTGGCCAACCCTGTGCACAGAGACACGAAAGAAACAAATCAGACACACAAGTTTCGATTTTGAGGCAAGAAATGCAATTGCAGAGAGAATTGAGAAGAAAAGGAATTGGTGGGTAGTTACCAGGAGCGAGTTGGAAGAGGGAGAGAGGGGGAGGGCAGTCACAGATGCAGGGAGGGCAAGAGAGTTTGGTGTGGGAATTGCGGAGAGTGATTTTGTTCTTGAAACGCCAGTACAAGGCAGGGCCACACACTACCAACGCCGACACTACTGCGAACAACACCAAACAGCCCCTTAACCACCCTCCCGAATCAGATCTCCCCCTTGACATCTCTCTCCAACACACAGACCAGATCAGATCAGATCAGATCCAATTCCTTAGTCACTATTCAACAATTCCACTTTCCCAGAACCAACACGAATGAAAAATCACGTTTTTATTATTTGTGTTGTGTTGTGCCCACTACCCAGCCCCTAGTGCTTTTTGCCCATTTGAAGAGGTCGTGAGTACACTGCGCGTGTCTGTCTCTCCATATCTCCTGTCTCCAACTTCTTTCCTTATTTATTCACTTTTTTTCTCATTTCTTGTAATAAGTTCAATACCACTACTCTTGGTTAGTGGGATAACACCAACTTTTGTTAACAAACCACTATCTTACTGCTTTACTTAATTATAACCAACACATTTTCACTTTGTTTCTCTTTTCTGTTTTAATTATATTGTTTTTTTTTTAATTTTAAAACAATTATTATTTATTGTGATGAAATTTATTTTTTACATACCATAAATATGGTTTACATAAGATAATGTTTAAGTAAAAAGTAGGATTATATGGATAACAAAACTGTTTATGAAACAATTTTGCACTAATTAATTATACATTTGGTAGTAATTAATTATTTTTATATTAAATGAGTTAAAATATAATTGTTAATTTATTATAATTTAATGATAAATAAGGATGTTGATAAAATATAATATATTTTATAAAAAAATATTTTGAAAAAAATAAAACTCTTGTAATGACAAATAATTTAAATTGTAAAGAGGAACATTGGGTTAAAGGTGTTTGTTATTTAACAGTTTCATTAGGGAAAG